CACAAGAGTTTTGTATTCTTCATAGGCTGCATCAATGATAGAATTGTTTGTTTTTTTACATACTAGTCTTTGATAATATTTCCTAACTGAAACACAAATATCCAATATAAGTGGATATTGACCTAATTCACCTCTACATGGGTCATTAGATGCCTTCCTATGCACATCCAGAACTCTTTTACAGAATTTAATATGAAGTTTTTCTGGAATTAATTTATCTGAGAAAAGTTTTGTTTCAAAATTGCAATTGTCAACTGTACATTTATTTTTACCACACCCCTTGTAGGTGTTCAGCGTAACCCCTCCCCCACACATCAGCCCCATATAAAGCTGTGAGTTTGATTATAGAGTTAAATAGTTTTTTAGCCAGACTAACAGAATAACATTCCTCACTGATCCAAAGCATTTTGTACATCTTGAACAGTGCTTTCTGTGCTTTGTCTTGTAGCCTAGACATAGCATTTTTTTATTATTATTATTTACGTTAACCACATATATAATTACATAGATTTAACAAAAGAGTAAAAAATTCTACAAAAAAAATATGGCAACGAGATAATTATAAGAATACGAAAATAAAGATAAAATAAAATAAAATAAAATAAAAAGGGGTATGTCAGCGTCACAGCATATTAAATGATTTCCACTTTTCAGTGTGCTTCGCTAATTTGCCTCTCCCTATCGCTATCACTTTTTCTAAATTATAAACTTGCCTAATGAGATATAAACTTCCATGGAAAGAAGGTTTTTCGTTTCTCATTTTGGAAAAGTAAATATGGAGTTTAGCTAGAAGAATAATATGATTTGTTATTTTTGAAAAAACCTTGTTCCCAAGAATAATATCTTGGTTGGACATATTACTAAGGGCGGGCAGATGAGCGAAACGCACCGAAATAGTTTGCCAGAAAGTCTTCACAACTATACACTCACAGAATAGATGAATCAATGTTTCATCATACATTTCACAGAAACTGCATTTTGGTGATGTAATCAGGCTAGAGTTCATGGAATATAAATCTGTGTTTGTAATGAGAATATTATGATTTAGTTTAAATTGAAAATGTCTTGTTCTATTATCAATT